CCCCCTCCCTCAAAAAGAATATTTATCTTCCAGTGTTCATAGAATTTGTTCTTTCTATTGAAAACTTTGTCCATGGTCAAACTTGACACTTTTCTTTGACGTTTGTAGATGCTGTGTCTTTCATGAACAGCCCAGTGTGAAAAGAAAGTTTGCCCAACATCCCTCTTCATTGCAAAGATCAGAACCAGAGAGATGTATTAAATCACAGTCAAGATACCTACTTTACTGAAATATAATTCATTGTCGTCCAATAAAATGAAAAGTCTGCTTTGTATATCAGTTAGTCTGTTTTGAATCTTTTGGTTATTGTTGGCTTTTTTTTGGGGGGGGGAATTACAATTGATATTGTCACCTCTGTCAAAATGAAGTACTCCCCCTCACCCCTCCTCCACCTTCTTGTTCTTCTTCTTCTCCTCCTCCTCCTCCTCCTCCGTCTCTATGTGTAGCTGCTGATCTGCACTAAGTGACTTTTACATTATCCATGTGCTTGTGTTCTTCTCTTTCTATTGTTCTCCTAACTCATAATGCCATAAACTCCACCAGTGTTGAATAACCTTGTTCTAGTTACTTGTGCCGCACGGACCCTGAGGATGTGGCCCGCGTGGAGTCCAAGACGTTTATCTGCACGCAAAATAAGTACGACACGGTGCCGCACGTGAGAGAGGGCGTGCAGGGAACCCTGGGACGATGGATGAGTCCCGAGAACATGAAGAAGGAGCTCGATGCACGATTCCCAAGCTGTATGGCAGGTCAGTGGCTCAATGTTTTCCAAACTGTATGGCTGGTCAGTTAGTCTTAGACAATTTTGTCTGATGTTTCTCTGAATGCATGCGGCTTTAGCAAGTCACTGTGGTCTGAGTTTGTTACAGATGTCATGGCCTTTGCTTGGGTGGATGGTTGGCGAGTGTTCTGGTGTAGTTTGCTCCTTTTTTCAGATCAAACTTGTATCTTCTTTATCTCTCCTTCTTCTTTACTTTGTATGTTACTCTCTAGCAACACCTCTAATTTTCTACACTTATATTACTATTTGTGTTGCTAGTGCTGTAAAACTCTTGACTTAGTGGATGGTTGGCAGTTGCTCTGGTGTGGCTTGCTCCTTCTTTCCTACCAAACATCTATCGTCCTGATCTCTCCTCCTGTGTTTGTTACTCTCTTGTAACACCTCAAATCTTCAGCACTTATAATACCTTATTGTGTTGCAAGTGCCGTAAAACTCTTACTAAAACTTAAGAACTAAACATCTATCTTTCTTATCTCTGCTCCTTCTTTTTTGGGTTTGTTTCTCTTTCGTAACACCTCTGATCTTCAGCACTTATATGACCTTATTGTATTACAAGTGCCGTAAAACACATACTAGAACAAACTCTGACTAAAACTATATGTCTGTATTTTTTCTGGATATATATATACTTAATCGTTGCTATGTCTGTGTCCCGGGTGTAGGTCGTATGATGTACGTGATTCCATTCAGCATGGGTCCGGTGGGCTCCCCACTCAGCAAGATTGGCGTGCAGGTGACGGACAGCAACTACGTGCTGCTGTGTATGCGCATCATGACACGCGTGTCGCCCAAGGTGTGGGAGGTGCTGGGTGATGGGGACTTCGTCAAGTGCATCCACTCCATGGGATGTCCAAGACCTGTGCAGAGTGAGTCACTAAGCTCTTCTCATGTATTTTTTCCTTTTCTTCTAAACGTTGATCTATGTTATTTTACCCCCTCCATTTTTTAGATGATTTAGGAGGTGGAGAGTGGTTGACTCTAGAGGTGTCATAAGGGTGTTCTAAACATGAAACTAGGGTGTGTGTGTTTTAAATGTCATGCGTGTTCTAAGTGTGTAGTGTATTTTTCTGAATGTGTAGGGTATGTGTTTTAGAAGTGCTGTGTTATCTAAAAGTGTCATGTTTGTTCTAAATATGTAACATATGTGTTTTAAATGCGTTGTGTCTTGTCTAAATGTGTAGCGTGTGATGTGTAGTAAACGTATCTCCCTCACCACATTCCGGGTTCCCCCAGGGCGTGTAAAGAACCACTGGCCGTGTAACCCGGAGAAGGTTCTCATCACCCACTTCCCAGAGGAGAGGAAGATCAAGTCGTTTGGCAGTGGCTACGGGGGGAACTCCCTGTTAGGGAAGAAATGTTTCGCCCTTCGCATCGCCAGCGTCATCGCCCGCGACGAAGGCTGGATGGCTGAGCACATGCTGGTGAGACTTACGTCAGGCTAATTATTATCTTATTTGTCAACTGTTTTACAGGACTAAATTGCAAAGATATTTGTGCTGCTCGTGCTGTAATACTCTTACAGGATACTAAACTTTTAAAAAGCTAAATTGCTTGGATAGTGCTTTAAAAAATGTATATTCGAAACCAACAAAATATCTGCAGTTGTACATGGCTGAATTGGGTGGATATTGTTGTAAAACATGTATTCTGAACTAACGAAATATCTGTAGTTTTACGTGACTAAATTGCATGGATAGTGCTGTAAAACATTTTGTGGCCTATTCTAAAAAACCAAACATCTATGATGTTACACCCAAGTAAAAGTTTAGAAAATAACCCCCTTCCCCCCTTCTCCCCCACCTCTCCTCCCACAGATCATGAGCATCACCACCCCCAAGAAGAAAGAATACTTTGTGGCCGCAGCCTTCCCCAGTGCCTGTGGCAAAACGAACCTGGCCATGTTGAACCCGGGCGTGCCGGGATACAAGATACAGTGTGTGGGTAAGATCTGTATGTCTGTGGTACTAGATACAGTGTGTGGGTAAGATCTGTATGTCTGTGGTACTAGATACAGTGTGTTGGTAAGATTTGTGTGTCTGTGGTACAAGATACAGTGTGTAGGTAAGATCTGTATGTCTGTGGCTCAAGATACAGTGTGTGGGTAAGATTTGTGTGTCTGTGGTACAAGATACAGTGTGTGGGTAAGATCTGTATGTCTGTGGTACAAGCTTTACTATATGACCATTCATATGACTCCACATGATCAACGATTGACAGTGGAGGGCACCACTGGTTTGTTGTTTCTGTCTATCTGTCTTGCTTCTTCCTTGTTTTTACTCAAACAAACAAATTCTAGAATGATGGGTATTTTATTTCATCAAAAGCAAGACAAATAAAAAAGCTTTAAGATGTTACCAATAACTCCACATGGCAAAGACTGACGGGCGCCCGATTCCATAGTGTCTTGACATATCTCTGATTGACAGGAGACGACATCGCCTGGATGAGGTTCGATGACTCGGGCGTTCTGCGGGGCATCAATCCCGAGGCTGGCTTCTTCGGCGTGGCTCCAGGGACAAACATGAAGACCAACCCAAACGCCATGCTGACCTTCCAGGAGAACAGCATCTTCACCAACGTGGCCGAGACAGCGGACGGGGGGTACTACTGGGAGGGACTGGAGGATGAGGTGCCCAAGGTAAGACATATATATACACATATACATATATGCACACACATATACACCTACACACTCACCTACACACACACACACTCACAGACAGATAGGGGGGTACTACTTAGAGGAACAGGAGGATGAGGTGCCTAAGGTGAGACACATGCGCACACAAATAGACACACGCACACATACATGCATGCGCACACATACATACATACCCACAGACATGTACACACATACACTCTCACTCACAGACACGGGATACTATTGGGAGGAACTAGAGGCTGAGATGCCCAAGGTGAGACACTCACATACATACACACACACATATATACACACATACTTACAGACACACTTACACACAGTGGGGGAGGGGAAAAGGGGTTATACTCCCCCTCTCTTTACCCTACTCCTCACAATGATACATCTCCCAACTCGCCCCCCCCCCCTTACTTCACATGACCTTACTCACACACCCCCCCCCCTCCCCCCCCTATCCTCACCATACATCTCTCTCTAACTCACACCTCCCCCTCTGACCCTCCAGGGTATCGGGATCACAACCTGGCTGGGTCAGCCCTGGCACATCGGCCATGGCGGGAAGTCGGCCCACCCCAACTCCCGCTTCACGGCCCCGGCCTCCCAGTGCCCCATCATTCACCCCAAGTGGGAGGACCCCAAGGGCGTGCCCGTCTGTGCCATCATCTTTGGAGGGAGACGGCCCACGGGTGAGTCTACGTTCGGAATATCTGTGATGCGTGATGACAAAATAAGTTATCTCTCATATTTTAGCTATATGGAAATATATACAGCGAATTTATAGGTGGAGTTTTTTCTTTTAATGAAGTATGAACGAAGTACGTAATAATCGAAAGAAAAAAAACTGCCTCTATTGAAAATCTACAAATTTTATCACAGTGTTCCCTTTAAGTAGTTAATGGGCAACTGTTTGGTTTTTTGATGTTGTATGCAGAAGATGTAGGTATGATTCCTGAGTAGGGAAGTTTTTCTAACTTGTGTTAGCGTCTGCTTGCTAGGACATTGTATCCCTCTCAGGATGGGTTGGCTCTGACAGGCAAGATTAACGCTCCCAGCATTCCAAATGATCTATATTGTGTCGATGAGGTCATAAACCATAACAATCATTATATGCGTGTGTGTGTGTGTATTCCCCAGGCGTCCCTCTAGTGATAGAGGCCAAGAGCTGGGCCCACGGGGTCATGATAGGGGCCTGTGTCAAGTCAGAGGCCACAGCTGCTGCTGAGCATACAGGTAGGTCAATAGTTGTGTGGTAGGCCTACGCCTCCTAAATGATCTCAATTATGTTGGAAATTGCGTGAAAACACTTACATAAATAAAAACCAACTCCCCAATCACAAGCTGACTCCTCCACTCACACATGACATACTTCTGGCAAGTCTGTGACGGTAGACATGTAGCGTGTAGATGTCCGTGGTGACTTTTATGTAACTGATCCAAGGTCAAAAGGTGCCCAATTTGAAAGAAAATTTAAGTTTATGGTAACATGGGCCAAATTTTCCTTTTACTTTTTTCGGACTACCGACTTTTGGTAAAATGTTGGTAGTGGTAGAAGTGCTTCAGTGGTAATTGAGTAATTTGATAATCATTTCATTGCCACTGAAATTGTCCCTTGTGTCATGTGACCACAAAAACATAAATGGTGTTGGTAGTCTTGTGGTTAGGCTGTCTAACTGGCAACGGTAAGGTTTGAATGCTGGCCCAGGCCCAGTGTTGTGCCCTTAGAAAAAGCTCTTTACACAAATTGTTCTCCCATTCACTGTGGTGAGAATGTCCTGTCAGTATGTCAGTGTTTGATTGAGCTAAGCGGGTGAAAGATATTGTCAATATGAGCTGAAATAGTGAAAGATCTTGTCAGTACGATCAAAGACGGTGAAAGATCTTATCAGTGCGAGCTTAAATAGTGAAAGATCTTTTTATTATGATCTAAGATGGTGAAAGATCTTGTCAGTATGAACTAAAATAATGAAAGATCTTGTCAGTATGGTCCAAGACGGTGAAAGGTCTTGTCAGTATTTCTAAGACGGTGAAAGGTCTTGTCAGTATGAGCTGAATTAGTGAAAGATCTTGTCATTATAATCTAAGATGATGAAAGATCTTGTCAGTATTGGCGGAGACAAAATCAAGGAGTCTTTTTTTCTTTCGGTTTACCGCTGTTTTCAGATTAACCATGTTTGGTTGGAGCAAACTTGACTCTCTGTACATGTAATAATGAATTGTAAAACACATGGAGCCTGCTCTGTGGTGGATTAGAGGACATGTGCTGTACATTGATGTATATTTTCGCTGTCATAAGCAATCCAAATAAGTCAAAATTTTGAGAATTTTATTTTTCCACACCCTCTCAAAGCTCAACCAAAGATGCAACTTTCAATATCACAAAAATGCTGTCCCCACGGTTTTATGCAAAAAAAATTCTGAAATTATACAAACTGATCCCAAAAATGTAAAATTATGCGATTTTGTTAATTTTAACAAAGAATGATAAAGGAAAATAAGAAATTATGCAAAAAATGATCAAATTTTGCTGAATTATGCAGGGTGCATAAAACCCCGGGGACAGAAAATGCAGTTCAATGCTGTGGTCAAGGCTTACAGTTTACTTGCTTTTCAAGATTCCTGATAGGAACAACACAACAAAAACTAGTTTTTCTTTCCCTGGGTGTAAAAAGTACCCAAATAGACTAAGTGCTATGCTTGCAACACCGATGATAAAATGTTGTTATTGCTGCTATGTGTGGTGAGTTGTCTAAGCCAGTGCGGGATTCCTCAGGGAAGAACATCATGCACGACCCGATGGCCATGAGGCCCTTCATGGGATACAACTTTGGACATTACCTGCAGCACTGGCTGGACCTGGAGAAACCAGGACGCAAGGTCAGTGTTGGCATAATTCATTTTGTTCCTCTTTTTTGTTAACGTAGGTATTTCTTAAAGTCCTAGAGACACAATTCACATTATTTAGGAAGTGGGGTTTGACCCTGCCTGTCAGAGCCAACAAAGGCTGAGAAAGTCAGCTGGATGCATGGTCCCAGTAGAAAGACTGAATGCTCCATAAAGGTCCCCTATGTGCAACGGCAAAGTGCTTAATCACTAAACAACAGACACTAGTACACACAAAAAATGTTTACTGTAAAATACTGTTGTTTGTATATCTGAGTGTGTGGAGCTGCAGAATCCCTCAGCATTCTGTGTGTTTGTCGAAATAAGGACAGATCATTGTGTTTGAGGCAATAAAATACTATATCTATGCTATAGTGATTGTACTCTGTTAATGTGGAGATGTTTGGTGTACTTGGTACTCTTTTATTGTCTGTCAAACATGGGCTGCTGCCAGTAAACAATTAAGCATAATTTTATCAAATTTAGAACAGCTGCCATTTTCTTTAAAAATTGACTAAGAGGTAAAAGGATGGTACCAAAATTCTCAGAAGACATACTATAGGCCTTTCATTTGCAACAGATAAATTTGGCATACAGCTACTTTGAAAATTTAGTTTCTGGTACCTAGTATGTTTGCCATTGTAACCCAAATTTCCCCCCACAGGAATCAATAAAGTGTTATTTATTAAATTTCTTTTTTTTTTCTCTCAGATGCCCAAAATCTTCCACGTCAACTGGTTCCGTGTAGATGAGAATGGCAAGTTCTTGTGGCCAGGTTTTGGTGAGAACATTCGGGTGTTGGACTGGATCCTGCGTCGTTGTGACGGGGACGACAGCATCTGGCAGGACTCTCCCATCGGTCTGCTGCCCAAGAAAGGTGAGAGAGGAACAACACAAAACAGTGGGTGGTTGGAGGATGTCACTGGTTGGAGGATGTCACTGGTTGATTCTGTTTCCTGAATGCTCCTCTGTTGTTTTTGTCTGTCTTACCTTTCCTTTGTTGTTTCTGTCAGTCTATCTGTTCCTCTCTTGTTTCTGTCTGTCTAGCTTGCTTTTTTTCCAGCATTTATTCATTTCCGTTATCGTGTCTCGGCTTCTTTTTTTGTCCTCAGAGGAACTCGCAACTGAATTTTAGCCAATTCTCCACAAAAGTTGCGAAAATAATAATGAAATTTAGTTAATAACCTAAACCAGACCTGCCACTCATCGCGACTTAATCGAGATATCCCAAATTTTCGCCCTAAATCTCAAACATCCCGATTTCGATCAAGTGTATCCTGATTTTTTGTTCTAGTCTGTTGCGCGGGATTTTCTGAAAGAAAACTTTCCCTGGCTTCTTCTCTATCGCGGGAAGCTCCCGTTGAACGTTTTGTCAGTAGGAACTTGGAGCATTATTTTCCAAAATAGCAATGCCGGATTAAGCAGCTGACTTGCCCCAAGTTGTGTTTGATCTTTGCCCACAATCAGAATCCTCCGATGATAGCCTGATAACTGTTGCAGTTGCGACAAACAAATAATCGATGATATTCATATATATATTTTTACTTTCAAAACAAGCTTCGTCCGAGGTCTAGTAACCGTGCGTTTGCACCAAACATTTGGACGAGCTAGTCGTTCTAACTCTTACACAACTGAGCTGACTAGACTAACTCTCAGCCGTTGTCGTTGTTTTGGTCTGAACGCAAATGAAGGATACGAGATTTGTTAGTACATTTGGCTTGTTTGCTCATCCAAATGTGACATGACTGTCCGTTCATGCACACTGGTTGAAGTGTCTTTCTGGACTTATTGGTTTGGAAGGAGGGGGATTAGACACGTGGATTAGGAGTGCTTGACGAGATGCTTCAGGATTGTAAAAAATAATAATACAGTCCGTGCCGGCTTTAAGCACGCCGGCATAAAGTATGTTTCGGACTCTAGCACGCTAAACAGATCTTACCGAATTTTTGGTATGTAAATTACACGCCTTTAAGCACGGTAACTTCGGCTTCAGGCACGCTTCATTTACAAGACAGTCAATACTTTCATATGACCCATCGAAGTTCGAACACCGTCTACACCACAGCAGTGAGTGTGTAAGAGCAACACAAAGAACTCAAGTGATGGAGACACACACTCACACGCTGGGAGAGGAAGGCAGAGAGATGCACTCGGCCAGGCGCGTGGACATAGGATCTAGCCTAGGGCAAAGCTACACACAGACGAAAAAAATACAAAGAGAGTCGTGGAGATGAGAAAGTGAGGCTGGCTGCGATTTCACCTTTGACCCTCACTATCCATTAATCCTGATTGTGTATCACACACGAGGTGGGATGAAGGCAGTGCTATGAATGTGGCACAGCAGCCAGTGGTACGCACAGGCAGTGTGCAGGCCTAGTGTGCTGTTTCGTGACTGGCCATCTAAATTAAATTTTCATTTCCCATTCGACCACAAAACAAAAACAAACAAGCAAACAAAAACTACCATGGCGGGTAAAAATAACAGTGCACACTTTTGCGGGACCGCAATATGCCTACTTACATACAAAGGGAAATAGCACAAGATATTTTCTCCATGAAAATCTCTGGATTATGTCTACTTCGCACTCAAGCATGCTTCGGCATTAAGCACGCTTAAGCTTTCTCCCTATGACCGTGCTTAAAGCCGGCATGGACTGTAAAACACACAACCGCACACACACACACACACACACACACACACACACACACACACACAGAGGGTCTGCCCAAACTCTTTTCCACAACTAAAAATAACGAGGCCAAGGGGGACAATTTGTACCAGAAATACCATCTTCTTTGTCACGTTCAAGAAGCGGATTGTTGAGAGAGAGAGGGGCATTCACTTGGACTAAATCATCTTCTAGCTAGATTTAGATCTACAGTAAATCAATCGTAACACAATGTTATGCCATCTCTGATGTAGCTTTGCGCTACATTTTTTCCCCACAATCACATCTGCAGACGTAGAGAGAGGGGCTACATATTGCTTGTTACCTGTAGGCACAGATCTCAGTCTGAAGAGTCCCTTTTATTCCTGTATTACAACCACTTTGTGGATATTGATTTTTGCAACTGAATTTTTCGTTTTGTATCTAGACCTAGTCTACTTTGTATTCTTCATAGAGACATTTCCAACGATAATTTTTATGACAATCTATGTCAATCAATTTTTATATTTCATACATATATATAGATCTATGACATTTGCTAGTGCACAGTCTAGTTTTTTTGTAGACATTCACATTTACTTTTGATTTTGATCTTACAAATTCATGTTGGTTACTTTGATTGTAATTAGCCTACCAACGATGTATTCCATGACATTTTATTAGCTATACGCGTCTTGCAACTTTCTCCGGGGGCAGCCTTTTACTCCAAGAGGAATGTAAGGACGTGTTTTTGAGCTCTAGGTAGCCTATCTATATATATTTATGTGGTCACGTGAGGTGAAATGTGATGTGTGCTGACAAAATGAGTTACTTTTTACAATCCAACAATGGAGATTTTGGCCAAAAATTGACGCAAGTTTCAAACTTGCACATTTTCAACTGATGCCATTTCCTTCAAGAGCAACATGACTCAAACAAAGGGTCAAAGCAGCCTGCTTCCTGAACTGTGTCAATGGTGGTGTAAAACTAGAGTTATTTTAAACCCCCTGGGGCGCTGCTACTGACTGAAGTGTCTTTAGGCCATTCCCAAAGGGGGGACATTAACATGTTCTTATGCACAGTAGAATTGTAAATGAACTAATTCATCAAAATCATGCTCATAACTGTGCCTCAACTGCGACAGGGAACTGCTGCTTTTTCTTTCCTAATCCTTACTATCGTCATTTTTCCTCTACTTCTTTTGTATGTTTGTCATACTCTTGTGACCCACCATTTCCAGGGTGCCTTGATAGTTGAAGCAGACTTTGTGCTGTTGAAGCTAGAGAGGTGAGCAGAGTAAGCCTGATTCCCTGTAAAGACTTCTCTGTTGACATCCATCCCTTGGCGCTCGTATGACCTTATGCAGTTGCAAGCGCCGTAAAACCTCTACTGAAACAAAACAAGAGTTATTTTACCAATGTCCTCCGTGCAGGCACCATCAATATGAGCGGCCTGAGCGACGTAAGGGAGGAGGATTTGTTCAGTCTGCCCACACACTACTGGCTGGACGACACACGTGAGAGCCGACGCTTTCTGGAGGATCAGGTGAGTGAGGGGGTTGACTGGTGGCATGTGACTCCCGTGGTGTGGTGTGATACTCATGGTGTGTGGCGGGTGTGGTATGTGACATTTTAGGACCAAAGTGACGTCTGACTCACTATATTTGACTTATTTTGTAGTGACACATGACTCACTCAGTAGAGTTGTTAATGGAACCCCATGACCCTCAAAGATCAAACTTCATGACGTCTCTAGGTGTGAGTGCAAGGTGCTCCATTAATTCAGGCGGTATCGTGCTAGACTACAGACTGGATAGCCCTGGTTTGAATCTTAGACTGGGCATTCTTGATCTCTGGTCTTTTTGTGGAGTTCTCACAGTTCTTAACCCATTAGGCTCGGTCCTATCAGCGAGGAATGTTAATTTTCAGAGGTCCTGCCTTGTAAAATAAACTAGTCGACTATGGATGAGTTGATGTCATCGACGGAGTGAAAAATACAGTATAATTCACTTATATCAATGTCCGATTTATCGACATATTTTCCAATTATGAAATTTTTCCTTCAATATGATCTTCACTATACAATTTCTCTTTTATTGACTTTTTTTTGGCCCACTCTGCTTTATCGACATGTTTCCTGGGTACCTGGCGAAGCCCACGAACATAAATGGGTGAAAAAGCCATGCTTACACTTACAATGAATGGATTAGTTCTTCATTAAGTCTGTCTACCTGCCAAGTAGCCTATATCGACACACCAGGCTTTAGTAGGTCACATAGGACCTACACAGTGTAGTCTCCAACACAGTACAGTGCCTCACAGACGTGAGCGTCTTGTTCGCTGGGCATCACCTTCCTACCCCCACTCCTGATCGTTTACTCCCAGCTCACTCCCCTTCCCCATCTCATTCTCAGTCTGTCACTGGCAAGTGCCACGGTCAGCGATTCAGTGCCTTGCCTTTCCATTTTCCCCAGCAAGCAACCATAAACAGGCCTTACAAGGATGCTACAACAAAGTTTGCGCTTTTGTGTAGTGTGCGCCTCGCGCTGCTCAGTCTTTGGTACTGTAACTCCAACACCCCCCTCCCCTCTGCCTCTTGATAGTTTCAAGAATCAAGGGAAGCAACCAGCCTTAAAAAGTAGTGTTGTCTTTTACCGCTGACTTTCCCTTGTTTTTTCCTCTTTTGCTTTATATTTTCATTTATCGACATTTTTATATATATCGACATCAAATCCACTTCCCAAAGCATGCCGATATAAGCGGATTATACTGTAGATCAACTCATCCGAAGTTCAAGTTAACGGTTTGGATCTTTTAAGAAGAAGAGGTGTTTGGACCTGAGAAAAGATCAACTTAACGGAAGATCAACTCAAGCGAGTTTCAACACAAGCAGAATGGACTGTAATATTTAAGTGTTGACAAGGGCACTATAACCACATGACTACATAACTACATAACCACTATACAGTAGATGAGCGCTCAGGTTCAGTGATGATTTGAGTAGTGTTGATGGAAGAGTAAAATGTGTACAATTTTCTCCACCCCCTCCTCTACCAGGTGGGCAGTGACACTCCTGCCATCATCACCCAACTGTTGGACCAGCAGGAGGCAGCCTTCCAGAAACTCAAGTAGATGGATTTGAACTCTGGACCTTGTGGCAAGCCAGTCTGTGACCGTTGTTATGTGTGTCTAAGTGAACCCATGAGACAGCGGCGGGACACTGTGAGCAGACGTTGGTACAGTTAGTGGCTTGGGGCACGTTGGTTCTCCCCCAACGGTTCGCAAGGGCTAGGTACTTGTCCCAGCTCTCAGAGATTGAATTAAGTGTATATATGATGTTGTTGATTACAGTTTTGCTCACAAGTGTAACAATTCAGGGATAACTCTATGGCCTTATTTCATAAATTTATACTTCGTCAGTGCCATTCCACAAACACGTACGTCATTTTTGAAGTTTGAGAAAGTAAAAGAAAAACAGAGCAGCAAAATCAAAACCATGAGTGGGGCGCTTTGTTATTTTTAAAACTAAAATCAAGGAAGGACATAACAAAACAGAACAAATTTGTACTGTAAGATGCCCCTTGGTCATGTCTTTGTTCAAATAACAATGGCTTACCATACATGGCAACTCCTGGAAATCAATTTGGGCGATTCTGGAATGACGCTGATGAAGTATGATCACTTGTACTAAACTGAAATGGGTAGATATATTTTATGTCCTCTTTATAAGGCCGCTCTGTCATCCCAGAAACTTTTCCATTTATAATTTTTTTAACACCAGTACAGACCACTGGTAGCGGTATCAACACCTTGGGTGGTGTAACATATATATGTAGCTGATGTCCGCCTCCATAAGTCCATGTGTCCCAGACTTTGCCTCCTTTTACTGGAATTTCTTTCCCCCTGCGATTTTCTATCTCTTATTCTTGAAGAACAAACAGGAGACAGTGGGTGTTTACCCTCACTCCTGGTGAGGTCACTCTAAGGATGTGTTCATCTTGTGGTTGCAGACAAGATATAATAATATATCTAGGTGTATCTGGGTTTTTTCTCTAGACCTTCAGATGAGAAGTTCATGTCTTTAGTGTGTTGTAAATCTGTTTTCTTCGCTTCAGCGAGTTTGTTCCATGTTAATCAGATGTGATATAAAATCTTGGTATTATGATATGTCATACCTTTTCTTTTTGTGGCCTGTGAATTGAGGTGTGTATACTATTACTATACATGGTGTACTGTAGGCTGTGTAAGAAACAAATTTTGAGCTGCACTCGGAGAGAGAGAGTGGGTCATGGGCCCGTCTGTGTCCACTTCATCATCATCAAGATCTCAGTTCTCATAATCAGACCTGGCTAACCAGTACAAGCAGGTACTGCCAGTTCAGCAAGCTGTTCAAAGATAGCCCAGACAATAACTGGCAACTTGTATGCACATACCCCAGATAGTTAACTAGCCGGTTGTGAAGTTGTTCAGCGAATGATTCCACCGACTTGCTTCTATTTCTATTCTTTTCACTTCAGTGTGGTGTACAGTACTCAGCAGAAAAATATACAACTTTCAGCGAAAGTTTGGTGTGAAAGTGTAGTGTTATTCTTATTCCTCTACGATGTATTGACTTTTGCTTTTACAAAGAATATATTATACAAAAACTGATAGCTCTGTTTATACATGTATTTTGTTGTGCACTTTTACAAAGAATATTATATATATTACAAACTATATAACTCAGCTTGAGTAACACCTATATAATGAAGTTACATTTTTCAGAGCTTGTTTTTCCTCCATCTGTGAACCCACCCATGTTAGGCATGTTAAGTTTTTAAGGTCTATCAGACTGTTTTCCATCCTTGAAATAATCCTGACAGGTCTGGAAAAAGTTAAAAGAAAGGAAGAAGATAGAATGAACGGCATCATTCACAACAATGCTGTTTTGCAATTATGACCGTTTTGTGGTTGTGTCAAGTTTTATTACAATAAATATATGTCATGTATTGCGGAGAGCTCTTGTGTACACATCATCTATTTGTCTTGTCCAATATTGGGGGGGGGGAGAGAAAAGTGATGGGAGCAGTGAAAGTTGTTGTCTTTGTATAGTTGTGAAGCACACTGAGCACTTTCCCAATTGAAATGTGATGTATATAATATACAGTATAATCCACTTATATCGACAGCTTAAGTATCGGCATTTTGACTTATCGACATATATTCCAATTACGAAATGTTTCCTTCAATATTTTCACTAAATAATTTTTCCTTTATTGACTTTTATTTCGGCCCACTCTGCTTTATCGACCTGCTTCCTGGGTACTTGGCGAAGCCCACGAACATTAATGGGGGGGGAAAAGCCACGCTAACGGTCAATGCATTATTTCTTCATAAAGTCCGCATACCCGCCAAGTAGCCTATTCGACACGCTGCGCTTTAGTTGGTCCCCGGGGTTTTATGCACCCCGCATAATTTAGCAAAATTTGATTATTTTTTGCATAATTTCTGATTATTTTCCTTTATCATTCTTTGTTAAAATTAACAGAATCGCATAATTTCACATTTTTGGGCTCAGTTTGCATAATTTCAGAATTTTTCTTGCATAAAACAACGGGGACAGTTTAGTAGGTCATGTAGAGCCAGTGTAGTCTCCAACACAGTATAGAGCCTCACAGACGTGAGGGTCTCGCACGTCTGTGAGGCTCTCGCACGCTGGGCATCATCTCCCTACCCCCTCTCCCGATCACTCACTCCCCTTCCCCACCCCATTCTCAGTCTGTCGCAGGCAAGTGCCACGGTCAGCCAGTTGGTGCCTCGCCTTTCCATTTTCCCAGCAAGAGGCCATAAACAGGCCTTAAAAGGATGCTACAACAAAGTTTGCGCTAGTGTGTAGTGTGCGCCTCGCATTGCTCGGTCTTTGGTACTGTAACTGTAACTGACTGCAACCCCTCCCCTCTGCCTCTTGTTAGTTTCACTGTGTAGTTGTGTAAGGATCAAGGGAAGCAACCAGGTTAAAAAAGTAGTGTTGTCTTTTTACCGCTGACCTCCCCTCGCTGTTTCCTTTATTCTGTATGTGTTTTCTTCTGTTTCTTCTACCCCCTATGTTGAGTGTGTTAGCCTACGTGCGACACACACCAGCCTCCTGCATGTGGTGAGTGTGTTGTATTTTCTTTACATGTGACAAACACCACAAACACCCTGTGTTGAGTGTGTTGTATGCACATATGACACACACACCAGTCTCCCAACTGTGTTGAGTGTATCGTCTCTATACATTTAACACACCAGCCTCTCCCCTGTGTTGCATGTGTTAACACACATGTGAACACACCAACCTCTCCCCTGTGTTGAATGTGTTGCATATGTGACACACACCAGTCTCTCCCCTGTGTTGAGCGTGTTATGACACACACATGTGGAACACAGCAGTCCATGTGCTTCGCTTTATTGTACTAAAAACTGGGTTGGGGCGTTAAGTCTGCTCAAGTTTAAATAGATACAACTGGTTTCCACATTATGCCACAAGAGTGCTAAAAAGAAAAAAAGTGACAATAAACATTTCCACTGCTCAGTGTAAAACTCAGTCAAAGGTCATTTTATAAAACGTCTTACACTAAGCAGTGGATTTGCTTTAGATGGAACTAAAGATATCCCAACAAGTTGATTGTGTAGAAAGATGCGATGTGTTTATTGGCCACTTCTTCACAGCCAACTCTTTAGACCTGGGGCTAAGCCTTTGTCTCAGTCTATCTGACCTCCCTGTTACTGTATTTAGACAAATGGTCACGAGGAAGTAGAGCTTTTTCCCAGTGTGATGTCCAGGTCTCCAGTGTGAGGGTTGAAGCTGGACGTGATCACAAGTGCCGGAGTCTCCGTGGAGGAGATTTCCTGTCGGAACAACTGCACGCCTTGTTTGGAGAACTTGTCCCATCTAGCCAGAGAAACAAACCAAAATACACTATCAACATTTCATCTGTGTACTGCTTAATTTGTCAAAGTGATATATAAGAATGATATTGCATTTATATAGCCCTTTACTCCAAACAAATATATATAGACTCCAAGAGCTTTACATTATGACATGATTACCGAGAGTAAACCTCACACACACAAAAAAAAATTATTTCATATATATGACAAGAAAACCAGTTCAATTATAAAAAAAATAATTTTCTCACCCATACATTAATTATTCATTCATAATATAAAAGGACAGTAATGACCACAAGATAAGCCTACATCAACACATGCTCACACACCTCAACTAAGACTCTAAAAAATCACTCGAACATGTTTTGTTGCTTTTCTGAGGTCCTGGGGCAAAAAATTAGAAAATTTTTTTTTACTGAGGGCCATTGTGAGTGGAGTCGAGGGAAGCCTGGGCCGCACCGCGTATTCCACACACAAAAATAAAGGTTTCAAGTTTGGTTTATTTTAAGAACAACTTCCAAATTACATTTACAACTTGTCAACAAATACCACACAGCTTGGGGGTAGCCCATAAATAATGAAAAATATAAAAATCCAAGGCACCACCTTGGCAAAAAGGAAGGCTATAAAGGTGCATGTGAGAAAAACCTGTTAGCTGCACTAACCTAACAACACACAACTTTGAAGTCGAGTAAGGGTCTCAAAATATCGCCCAGAGGGCCTAAATTGGCTCACCGCAGGCAGCGAGTTTGAGACTCCTGGTCTATGGAACCGGGTATAGTAAATGGGCCCTTTATCAAATTTCAATTAATTTGAGAAAATTTCTCTTTCACTCAGAATTTTTTTTAATGACTTTGGCATATATGTATTATCTCAAAATATATCTGTGACTGTGATGACAAGGCAGGTACATTCGGCACAGGCACAGGCTAGACACAGTACATATGTAGATGAGACATAAAGGAGAAGCAGGTAGAACATGAGACAAGGACAGACAGGTAGGACCTGAGACTAAGGTAGACACGAAGCACCTCAGACTAGGACAGATAGGTAGGACATGAGACTAGGGTAGGTGAGACATGGACAGACAGGTAGGACATATAGGTTCAACATGAGACTAGAACAGACCTGATTTTCTGGCCGTGCCAGTTGGTCCCTGTACATGTGTCGTCTGAGGAGAGCCCCGAGCTGGTGCGGAGGTTGTCACCAAAGTCAAACTCTGTCCAGAAAGCCACGCCGTTTACAGTCTCATCTCTGAAAAACAGACGGACAGACACAAGGGATGACACACACGACATAAAACAAGAGTAATTTAGAGCTGAGCCCCCCCCATAAAAAAAGCCTTACAATAACTGCTTCTTTGAGATGAACATCATTAATAGCAACCATATAACCCAGGGAAAAAGCAAGGCAAGCAGAAAGTAAAGAAAGAAAGGAAAGAAGTAGGAACTGCAATTAGCATCCACCCACATCCTCCTCTCAAAGCCAGACACAGGACAGTAATAATAATGATAAAAATAATAAAAGTATGGAAGTAATAATAATAATAATAATAGTAAATGTGTGTGGGTGAGTATGTGTGCATGTGTAATCCCTCCACATCATCCCCCCCTAGACTGACCTGCAGAACTCCCAGGGTTTGACGGAGCCCTCGTCAAGAACCAGTGATCTAAACTTTCCAGGCAGAGCCACTTACTTGGTGAGCTGTACATCCACCGACTGTCCGAGCGGTGAGAGTTGGTCGACCTGACGGGTCAAGTCCAGGGAGATAAGGAGCTGTGGTTCAGAGGCAGACACGGCCGGGTACTCCCACAGGGGCTGGGGTTCGATCTCTGGGTCTGCACAGTCAGATGATACCTGAGGAGACATTTTTTTTAAAAGTTAATATTATACGGCACTTGCAACACAATAAGTCATATAAGTGCCGAAGACTGGAGGTGTTACAAGAAAGTAACAAACACAAAAAAGAAGGAGAGATAAGAATGATAGAGGTTTGATAGGAAGGAACAAGCAAACCACACCGCACGGCTGTTACCGACCGCCAACTTAGTCAAACCGCCAGCCCCTGGCACTCCCCGTAACCTGATACTCTGTGACCCCGGTCACCGGGTCAGTGCAACCAGTTCACTGCCGATGCCCAGTTACAGTTGTTTTCTTATCACACTTTGCTTTTTACGCGTAAACTGAGGCAGTAAACAAAAACTATAATAGAGATCTCCCAGAAAATCACTCACACTGAACGATCGAAATAGCTCTAGTGTGGGCAAACAGGATAAAGTAAATACTTACATGGTGGCATCATTGTACGCTTCTTCAAAGCAAAGATATTGAAAGCTTGAATTAAAGAATCACAGAAAATTAGGGTCCTTGATAAATATGGTCAAAGTGCACTTACTACTATACATCATGTACAGACATGTAGGCCTACCCCTGAAACAGGGGAAATTCTTCGTCGTTTTCCTGCATTTGACTGTTTAATTTTCTCACTAAAGGAGTATTAAGTTTTTCATCTTCTTTTGTTAGTGGTCGCGTTGGAGAGATCTCTAGAGACTGAGAGAAGAGCCTGTCGTGTTTAAATGCTGGAGAAGTGCTGCTATCTACCACTAGCTGTGTAGGTTTGGATGGCATGGATGTAGCAATAGGGAGGACATGAAGCTCAACCTTACTGTGGTCTGTGCTTGATGATGCAGTGCCCGAGTCGAGAGATGCCATGTCTTTCTTCATTCCTAGTATTGTCTTCTGTGTGTGTAGATGGCTCTGCAGTTGAGTTGTTTGCTGTGTTTGCCGAGTCTTCAAACGTATGTGGTGAAAGTGTTGTCTCTGAGGTTTCCGGTGTTTTTGTTGTTACTAATTCTACTGGAATGTTCTTGCTCCCCACTGACGTGCAATGATAGTGTGTGCATATCGAACTGTCACCAGCATGTATATCAGACTGAAAAGCTGTCCACAAAATTGAGGAGGTTTCAGCTGCTTTTCTTGCCTTACTATAGTTCCCTCATACGAATCATGTGTCCTACTGCGCTTTATCTTGTTGGTACAGGCATAGCATATCGTCGATGAATGTTTACTCCATTCATCAACTGCTATCCTTACGCCAAATACCAAGATATCATGTAGGCTACAAAGTCAATGCATTTGTAGACTTTTGTCTTTTGCAATTTTTGTTTTCTGGATAGACTTCTACCACTACATGTTCTACAAAAATCATGAAATATACAGAACATGGGACACTTCATCATGGCACTCCATTATGAATTATATTAATGTTATCCACAGAAAAAAAGCAGAAGAAATCCAGACGAGGCGAAAGAGGCTTGGGATACTTTCACACTCCAAGTTCTACACAAAATCGATCACTTATGAATCACACAGAATAAGTACAATGTTCTCACTTCCACATGTAACTCAGTACTCTTTTCCCATGCGTAATCAAGAAAAAAAATTCAATTGTAGGTGAAATTACTGAGAAAAAATAACTCTTCAAATTTAAAAAAATAGATGAAAGTTGCTTTAAAAGTAATAAAGGATGGAGAGCACTTCTCAGCAAGCAGGATTAACACTAGTGAACGCACAAAAGAGAAAATAATATTGTCTTATACTTATTGGGTTGAAGTAGCCCTTTAAAATGAGACCCCACATGGAGACATCGAATCTTTAGATCGGGAGATGTTGGGGATCAAATTAATAGAAAATGACTGAAATCAAGTATTCTTGGCACAGCCGAGGCACCCCGGGAGTGCCGCTGCCGTCACAGTACCTTGCATGGTTTGACAGCTGATTTATTACCATCTCGGGGTGGTCAGCGGGAAACGCTTGCCCTGTAACTAAACTGGAGGTTTTGGGATGATTTAAACCGCCATGACCAGAGCACCCGCCAGTGTGTGAGGAAAAAGCACACATAGGGCCTATATATATATATATACATATAATATATTATACAAATAAATTATAATAATAAAAAAACTGCAATTTATTGATCCCCATGGGGGAATTCTGGTCACAATACAATGGCATAATAATTAAGTATACAACTCCCTACCCCCCACTCTCTCCATGACCACTGCCCTGTACGTTGTAGTCAAAGAGTTTTACACCACATGCAACACAAATAGGTCATGAATAAGTGCTGAAGATTAGAGGAGTTACTAGATAGCAACATGATACAAAAAACAAGGAGAGATTTATAACAGCAATACATTTGATAAGACAGAGGGAGCAAATCACACCAGAGCACCCGCCAACCACCAACACTAACCTCTATAAGTTTATCAAACTCAGTGATGTCAAATCCCTCACAGTTCCCCACGGGAATCCTGATCTTGTGCAGGTCTCGGAACCTCACAGCCATGGCCTTAACCTCCATGGCCCGAGGGAGGATGACTGCGTCGGGCGAGAGGAAGGGCCTGATGGTGGATGCAGCATACCAGAAGTACAGATGTTCCCAGGGGAGGGAGGACGCTTGGAAGAACGGCTCGGCTACCACAACATCTATCTGAGGACAAACAAACAGACAAAAAAAATGAACAAACAAATGAATGAATATACAAAATAACTCAACGTCAACAAACAAGACCTATCTGTGAACAAACAAACCAACAAACAAAATCTAACAAAAGATGTATCTGTGAACAAACAAACAAATGAATCAACAAACAAACAAAACCAGCCACAAGATCTATCTGTGAAAAACACAAACTGAAACAAAATCTACACATGATGTATCTGTGAACAAGCAAACAAATGAACAAACAAACAAACCTACCAGAAGACCGTGGAACAAATAAACACACAAACAAAGTCTCCCACAAGACCTGACAACAAACAAACAACATGAGTGACGGGCCCAACATGACAGAGAACAAACCTTTTGATGGTTCAAGTCAGCACTGGTCAGATCCCCCACCTCTTTCTCCAGGACCGTGACGCGGTCACCAAGGTTGTTGCTCTCTAAGATTTGTTTGATGATCCGCCGACAGCTTGAGTTAGTGTCCAGGTAGAAGACCTGGGTCAAATGTCAAGGGCAGAGATTGGGTACAATGTCGTAGCATTCAATGTAAAGCCCCAGTTACACGCAACGATGTTGTATCTGATTCATTGTATGAGAGAACTATCAGTTTTATTGAACTATGTTGTCTGTTTACACATTCCAATCTATCATTAAGTTTTCTTTCGATTGATGAGATTCCTCATCATAAAGTCACCATGTCTCTTTGAGACGACAGCGATTTGCCTGCACTCTATGTGAAGGTTTCGAGCTCTGGACCTAATGAATGAAAGGCGAACACTAAACCTCTAGATCACGAGACCCCCCCCCCCTTTTCCCCTGTATATTTCGATTTAGCAGAACAGTGTCTTTAGAAAAGCCATACTGTAGGCCTACAGGGTTGTGTTTAGAACTGGAAGCTGATGTGTAACGCACCGAGTGACCTTGATGCACAGCTTCACCCTTGACTATCAACTAAATAATAAAATTGCAAAAATATATATAATAACGGACCAAATCAGGTTCTCCTCGAGCAACTTTGCTTATTTTGAGACGCTGATTCCGAATATGAAATCAGTTTTTACCTACAATAATTATTTTTTAAATTTTGAGTCCTGAGTTTAGTTCTGCGCAGCGGCAAATTTCAAAGTGAATCTACGTCACAGCGCATCTCCCTCAATTGTGACCGTGATCGCACGGAAAATATCAAGCAGCGCTTGATTTCTCTCTCCAAACCATCGTTCAATCGTCCAAATTTTGTACAATTTTGTGGTTACACCTAACGTTTTATCGTAGGATCGCTATATCGTCCAGTTTTTGTACAATTTATCGTTACGTGTAACCGGGCCTTAAGTCTTCACATCTCTCTCTCTCTCTCATGCATGACTGTATGCACACACACATGCACGCGTATACAAACACATACATACACATACGTATACACGTCTTAACATCTCTCACACACACACACACACACACACATACGTCAAGGGGAGAGTTTGGGTACATAACAACAGGGACAGCTCGCATACAAACACCACTCAAGTCTTCACATCTCTCTCTCTTTCACAAACACACCTGCTTAGCTCCGACAGCAGCAGCCATGACTGGCAGCAAAGACCCGTCAGAAATGACCAGACAAACTGTGGAGCTGTTCACATGCTGTGGAGAGAGGGGAACACAGAAAAAAGTATGCGCAAGTCCACTTTGTTTGTTTTTTAAAGTTATAATAAGACTTTTATGGCACTTACAACACAATTAGGTCACAAAACTGCTGAAGACTAGGTGTTACAAAAAGGTTTAATTTAGTACCAGTATTACTGCACTTGCAACACATTTAAGTCAAATTATGAGTGCTGAAGATTAGAGGTGCTACTGGAGAATTTAGTTCTAGGAAGAGTTTCACTGCTCTTGCACCAAAATGAAGTCATAAAGAAGTGCCAAAGATTAGAGGTCCTACAGGAGAATAATGCACAAAGAAAAGAAGGAGTGATTAGGATGATTGATGTATGACAGAAAAGAAGGAGCAAACCACACCACAGCATCTGCCAACCACCCAGTTCTAAGTCAATAACAGGAGATGTCTGTTCCAGGTCTGGCACTTCATGATGATGAAATCATTGTCACGACAACTTTTAACAGAATCTAGAAAAAAATAATAAAACTGAAAATATCACTGCACTAAAAAAACAAACTGGTCAATAACATTCTTTAATAAGCTTTGTTTTGCATGCGAAGCACATCGACAAAATAACGGTTGTGAAAGAGGAAGACAGATCATCCATCTCCTCCTCGTTACATGACCCACTGATACTGAGGGCCAGGACATCCCTTCCCTGCCAAATACATACTTTTTGCAGCGCTTTCATCAACACGCTGTTCCTGTGGTCCTCGCTAAGCTGTGCCAGACGGCCCCGACTGAACGCAATGTGAAGGCCACACGTACAGACCGGCCGAAGTCTGAGCCACAGAGGGACAAGAAAAAAGAAGCAATAATGTCAAAGAGTTTTTAAACACATGCTCTCCAATGTTTTCACAGCTACTAGAATTATAGTATCAAAGGTGCTATGCTTCAACTGTGAAAGTGGTTTTCAGTTTCAATTTGCTAAGAATTTTAAGACACTTGCAACTGCATAAGGTCATATGAGCCTACAGAACTAGTTTCTTGAGAATTTTTCAACGCACAAAAATAAAACGTCTGGTTTAAATGATGAAAGAAGCAACAAAAGCTAGACAACAGTACTTAACCCTACTCATACGTCGGTTTTACTATCGTATCCATACGACATGGGTAACTGTGAGCCCCCACTTTCCAAAGAGAAAATTTACTCATTAATTCGCTTTGCATAGCAGTCTGTAAAAATGATTTTTTCGAGAAATACTGAAATTTTCAAAGAGATCTTCGCACTAGAAGTATTCTAAAATGTGAAAAATACAACCCACGGGGTACAAAATTACCCCAGGCATATAGATAGGGTTAATAGAGTTTTACGGCACTTGTAACACAAAAGGTCATTTCAGAACCAAAGAATTTTTTTTTTGGTAAGTGTTTTACAGCGACAAAATATTAGACTGAGAATCTGTGCACTACAACTACATGACAATAGCAACAACTTTTAGTTTTAGTGAGAGTTTTACAGCACTTGCAACACAATTAGGTCATATAAATGTCAAAGATTTGAGGTGTTACTAGCGAGTAACATACGAAGAAAAGGAGGAGGAGAGATAAGGACAACAGATGTCTGATAGAAAAGAAAGAGCGAACCACACCAGAGCACCCGCCCACACCAACAACAATAGATGAAGAACAGAGAATCCGAGCATTACAACATTAACAAAATGTAAAGAATGGAGAATCTCAAAACTACATCAACAATTTCAACAACAACACCCACAACTTCACCAACAAAACATAAAGAAGAAAGAGTCAGGTGTACCGGTCTATTGTGACAGTGTCGAACCACAGACTGTACTCGTCGTGTCTGGCATAGACGGGGAATGTGTCGCCCTCGGCAACCGGCAGGGGGGAGGAGGGGTAGTACACGGCCTGCATCCAGTGATCTCTCCACTATTCGGTGGCGTGGGGAAGGACATGGATGGAAACAAAAACAAGTTAGAGGTGTGTCTCCATGGGGGAGGCGGGAGAAAAACTCTTACAGTAATACAACATGATTGGAGGAAAGGGGAGGATAGGGGGAGGTGTCAGGAAAAAACCAACGTAGACAGGCCTACAACACCTTAGAAATGTCTTTCCGTGGGAGCGCGCGGGGGGGTGTGAAAATACACACACAGAAATACAACACACTAGAATGATTTAAATGTCTCTGCAAACAGACAGACACACCAACAGACAGACAACTCACTGGCACGGCTTCTCCCTGAGGCTGGTTCCAGCGGGGAGCACAGCTGAGGACAATCTCCCCGTCTGCGTCCATGTCCAGATCCCACCACATGACAAACGCGTCCACGCTGGCCGAGCGCAGCGCGTGCAGCAACACGTCGCAACTTTCCTCCTTGTGGAGGGATTCCTTCTTGCTGAAGTCAAAGCTGGGAGGGGGAGAGGTCATGGTGAGTAGGGGGCAGACGATGAGAGGTTAGAGGTCATGTTGAGTGGGGAACAGATGATGATGAGAGGTTTAGAGGTCATGGTGAGTGGGGGACAGATGATGATGAGAGGTTAGAGGTCATGGTGAGTGGGGGACAGATGACAATGAGAGGTTAGAGGTCATGGTGAGTGGGGGACACATGATGATGAGAGGTTAGAGGTCATGATGAGTGGGGGACAGATGACAATGAGAGGTTAGAGGTCATGGTGAGTGGGGGACAGATGACAATGAGAGGTTAGAGGTCATGGTGAGTGGGGGACAGATGACAATGAGAGGTTAGAGGTCATGGTGAGTGGGGAACAGATGATGACAGGTCAGAGGTCATGGTGACTTGGGTGTCAGATGAGAAGTAAGACAACATAGTGAGTTGAGTGACAGATGAGAGGTCACAGGTCATAGTGAGTTGGGTGACAGGTGAGAGGTAATGGCGAGTATGATGACATATGAAAGGTCAAAGGTCATAGTGAGTAGAGTGACAGGTCATGTGTTTTGGTTCGTTGAGAAAAAAGAAGAATATCCACTCATACATGGTGGTTTAAAGCTAGGTTAGAAGGAGGCAACTGACAATTTCTTCTCCTTTACTCTCCCTCTCTTTTTTCTTTCTATCCATTCTTCTTCCTTTACATTCTCTCTCTTGTTTTTGTCTATCAGTTCCTCCTCATTTACTCTCCTTCTCTTCTTTCAGTCAATCAATTCCTCCTCCTTTGAGTCCATGACAAGTTATAAAGGAGAGACACGGTCAATATGTTTGGAATCAAGGAAAGTGTAAGGATGTTTCTTATCATTTCACAGGTGTGCCTAGGACAGTTTTTATGGTAGGGAATTATTCAATTTTTAATTTTGCCAAGTGGCTGCCTAATAGCCTACTCTTTAAAAAAATGTTGTCTACCAGGGGATCTTAATATGTCTAACGTGCACACAGGACATCTGAGGTTTTTCATTCTAATTGAAAAAGTTTAGGCACTTCATCTTACATGAATCATACATAAATAGAGTTAACATTGATTGTAGACAGTGAAAAAGCCCAGAGATGAGAGGTTAAAAGAGAACTTTTGTATGAGGTCTCTTAACACAGAAAAAAAAGATAACTCTTCACCTAAACACTTCCACAGGCTCTGAGACAAGAGTGATCTCCTCCTCCAGTTCATCCACCTGCAAGTCGTGTAGTGAGGGCGCCCCACTACAGCAGGAGAAACTGTCAGGCATATGAATCGTCTTTCCGTTTGGTAAGGTCAGAGATCGTAGTTCATTGGAGCGCCTCAGTAGAGGGCACTGCACCGCCTGAATGTAGATACGGGCTCGGGCCGGAATGGCCAAACATTCCTCCTGTACATTCGCAGAGAGAGTGAGAGAGAGATAAGTTTAGTTTAAGTAAGAGCTTTACTGCACTTGCAGGTCATATACGTCCCGAAGATTAGAGGTCTTACTCGAGAAAATACACAGAAAATTAAGAGAAAAAAAAAGATGAACAGACATGTGAAAGGAAAGAAGGAGCAAACTACACCAGAGCACCCTCCAACCACCCACCCATTTAGTCTGAGCACACAACATTACATCTCCCAACAAGATTCAGCTTCAAAATGGCTCAATCAGAGCCTGCTATATTCTACTTCCAGTCACAAACACTCCACCCCAACATCCAGGTACCTCCATCAGCCGAGTAAGCGCGTCTTTGTACGACCAAATGGCTCCTTCCCCAATAAGTTCTGTGTCAAATAGTTCAGTCACTAGCAGATTGGCTCGCTGAGGTAAGTCCTCTCCTGTTGAATACACGACAAAACAGAAACATTTATCTTTGTCCGGTATACGACAACACAGAAACATTTAGCTTTGTCCGGTACACGACAACACAGAAACATTTATCTTTGTCCTGTACACGAAAACACAGAAACATTTATCTTTGTCCGGTACACGACAACACAGAAACATTTATCTTTGTCCAGTACACGACAACACAGAAACATCAATGATTGTGGAGTACATGACAACACAGAAACATCAATGATAGTTGAGTACACGACAACACAGAAACATCAATGATAGTTGAGTACACAACAGAATACTTCATCAATGTTGCTAGAAAGCATTGAACACTGACATGTTTTAGTAAGAGTCTAAGGGCACTTGCAACACAATAAAGTCATGCAAGTGCTGAAGCTAAGAGGTGTTACAAAAGAGTAAAAAACACAAAAAAGAAGGAGGAAAGATAAAGAAGATAGATGTTTGACAGTCAAGAAGGAGCAAACCACACTAGAGCACCCGCAAACCACCCATAGTGAACACTGAGAAAAGTATTGACTTTCCACAAATAACTAAAACACAAAGTCCACACACACCATCTCTACATGAAAGATCTTACCCATTTCATTTAAACAAAATGTGTGGACTGTTTTTTGTACAAATACCAGTCCAGTCCAGATATTTTGTTTAAATGAAAGAACTTATCCCTTCAAACAAAACAAAAAATCTTTCCACACACATTTTCTCAAGCTGACAAAGTCAATTTCATTTTTTTTATATTCACACTTGCAGTCTTGGCCAAAACAAACAAACAAACCACACAGCACACACACACAAAGAAAGAACATATTTATGCAAGAGAAAAAAGAGACAATCTTACCAAACAAAACTTCCGTGGAGCGTTTAGGCACCAGTTTGATCTTGTCCTCCAGCTTGTTTGTCCTCAGTACTTTCCTGGCACACTCAGCCATTGGGGGAAATGCCTTGAACATGTTTAGTTTAAGTTTTAGTAAAAGTTTTTCCTGGTGCTTGCAACACAAACAGGTCATATAAGTGCCAAAGATTAGATGTACACCTAAAGAGTAACATACAAGATAAGGATGATAGATGTTTCGTAGGGAAAAAAAGAACAAACAAGCACACCTACAAACCACCCACCGGAGTTGAAGAGTTGGGGACACAGACAGCATTGAAATACTGTCATCTCTTTTTGTTTTAATAGAGTTTTTTCGGCACCTTTTTTAAGGTCATATGAAAGCCAAGGGGTGGATGTCAATAGAGAAGTCTTTACAGAGAATCTGGCTTACTCTGCTCACCTCTTTAGCTTCAACAGCACAAAGTCTGCTTCGACTATCAAGGCGCCCCGGAAATAGAGGGTCACAAGAGTGTGACAAACATACAAAAGAAGCAGAAGAAAAATGATGATTGTAAGGATTAGGAAAGAAAAAGCAGCAGTTCCCTATTGCAATTCAAGCACAGTTATGAGCACGACATTGATGAGTCAGCCCATTTACAATTCTACTGTGCATAAGAACATGTTAATGTCCCCCCCCCTCCCCCCCTCCTTTAGGAATGGCCTAAAGACACTGCAGTCAGTAGCACTGCTAGGGGGGGGGGGGGGGGGTCATCTCGAAAGTGTTTTATGTAGTTACAGTACAACATTGTGGGGAAAATGCCTTGAACTTCAAGAGTTAGGTTAAAGATACTGTCATCTCCTTATTGTTTTAGGTTGTTATAGTAAAACATTGAGATAAACACTTTGCAGTCCTCTCTGAAGTGTTTTACGCAGTATGATAAAATGAAAGAACAACAATGGGGCTGAAATGCCTTGCAGTCATCTCTGAAGGGGTTTACATAGTACATAGTATTACAGTACACTGGTCTCTGGCTAATCCCATGACCTCAGGTGACAAAAAATGAGGGCTCTTAAACAAGCATGCTATTGAGCGGATTTCAAAGGGGAATAATCTAAGGGAAGTATTTTGCCCTTGATCTCAGATTGACATTTCATTTTTTTTTTTCCGGTAGGAGCGCAGAGTATAACATATAACCCCAGGGAGCTCATAGTTAGGACATCAAGACAGTCTCATGCTGATGGAGGAAGAATTATTCATATATCCAAATTTTTCTGCTGGGTGAAGAAGCATGTAAGGATTGCTCAACCAAGGTGTTCCCTGGGACAGGCAGAAGAAGGACATGTAAATCTAAGGTGCCAACAACAAAAAAATCCTGAACTTTTCAGACCCCATGAAAACATGCATGCAGGGACTTTAAATTTATTCATCAAAAAGTCTAAAACTCCTTGAATCAAGACTAATTGTCTATAAAGTGCAATATGACACGCAAAAAGAGATTAAAATACCGTGAACATATATCAGCAGGAGTACACATTACAAAATCCTCACAATTTCAGAAATCTGGCCGAAAAATCTGCCCCTGTATGTAAATTCATATATTTTAATCTGATTAATCCGTTCCTTTAAATTCAATAAAATCACCACACTTAAGAAAAAGCTCCTTCCAACCCCCCTCCCCCCAAGACACACATCGTCACATTCGCGGGATTCGCTGACACCTCACCTCACAAGCAGTCACGGAGTCCGCCCCTGAACGAGCAGCCATCATAGATAGGAGCCCTGTGCCCGTCCCAATGTCCAAAACATTCACTGGAATATTTTTCGACTTCATCATTGCCACAGTTTTGCGAATAGCTTGGTAATACTTTACATTCTGAAAGAGAATGCAAAAATGACAAACAGTTCAGAATGAAAAATCAAGACCGGGATGACAATTAATAATAAAGATAACAAAGTATTATCTTATCTTATTATAAGATTTAAAGAGTTTTGCCAACATACTATTATCAATATAAATTTTATGTAAATTATAAAGGAAGTGCTTATTTAGGCCACATATGGCCTAAATAAGGTAAGGGAGGGGGGTTTAGCTTATTTAGGCCACACATGCTCAAACTACCCTTTTCAGGCAACTGAGTTCATTCCACTTTCATAATGGTGCACCTTTCTCATTTAGTATGGTTTTGCCTCAGTGTACAACTTATAAATCATAACCATAATGAATATTGTAAAGAACAAAGCACAATACGCAAAATTTTGCTCAATCCCAATGGTTTGAATGAGGGCCGGATTTTTCCTTCATGGAGGGGCAAAAGCTAGGCTACCATTTTGGCACACTTTGGTCAAGTGAAAAGGTCAAATCCTCCGAATGGACTTCCGGGTTAAATTTGGGGTATAAAAAGTGTGTATACTACGTGGCTGAGTCAAAGTTACACTATCTTTGCCTGAGTGACACTCTCTCGTACTGTCTCGTAGTAGTACATGTAGGCTAGTAGGCCTAGTAGTAGTAGCAAAGATCGTGTAGAGAATATTTGGTAGTAGATTCTATCTAGTAGGCAGTTTAGTGAACGTGCTCGCGGCAGGGCGAATCGGCCTCGATAAGCCCCGTAGACTTTTGTGATCGGCCACGAAGCCTCGTGTTTTGATGGGTCTAGATCTAGATCTAGATCTAAACAACTCAGTGCTATTCGCACTGCCACATCCGACAGGCCTAGATCTACATCTTTTTAAAAGGAAAAAAAAGATCATCAAAATGGTTGAATTCGCATGAAAATCGATTAGGTAGAACTAGAACTATTAAAATTTGCTTCTGAAAACAAGGCAATTTTTATACCAAGGCCATTTTTATAACTCGATGAAATAAAAACTACTGACTGTGTACTGTGTTATTCTGTATAAAAATAAATTATGAAACTTCAGGACGTAGATCTATTATTATTTAACAGCATCTTTTGACGCCTGAGCTGTAGAGGTTGAAGTTTTCACAACACTAATAGATCTAGTAATAGGGTTAGGTAATACGGCTTTCCGTAAAAAATGCATAGATCTACAAAAGCCGACCACCGAATCGACCGGGCGCCTCGGTCTCCCCTGCACTCTGATTCAATATTTTTTTTTTTTATGCTAATCAATGAAAATTGCAAATTGATAATAATAGTATAGTCCTGTAGAGGATAGGTGGACTCCGGGGTCTGCATAGCGAAATACTAGGTTTTAGGATGTAGACCCCGGAGTCACCATAGTGAAATAAGGTTGGTTTAAGTAAGGATTGGTACTAGGTTTTAGGACAGGTGGACCCTGGGGTCACCGCAGTGAAATAAGTAGGTTTCTTTAAAGATTGGTGGAACCCGGAGTCACCATAGCCATAGAGGATTAAGAAGGTTTAATTAAGGATTGGTGGACCCCCGGGACACCTTGATTAAACCTACTTATTTTACTACGGTGACCGCAGGATCCACCTATTCTAAAACCTAACTAGTGTTTCGTTAGGTAGACCCTGGGGTCCACCTTAAACCTACCTATTTCACTACGTTGAATCCAGGGTCCACCAATCCTTAAAATTAAACCTAGATCTATCTACATGTACTTATTTCACTACATTGACCCCAGGGTCCACCAATCCTTAATTAAACCTAGATCTACTGATTTCACTACATTGACCCCGTGGTCCTCCAATCCTTAATTAAACCTATATCTACTTATAATTTCACTACTTTGACCACGGGCTCCGCCAGTCCTATTATAAAATAAACTTAGATCTACTTATTTCATTATGTTGACCCCGGGGTCCACCGATCCTTAGTTAAACCTAGATCTACTTATTTCACTACGCTGACTCCGGGGTTCACATCCTAAAACCTAACATTTTGTTAGGTAGACCCCGGGGTCCGCCTATCCACTTTCTTGATAATAACTGAAAACAATACATGCCAGTTGTCATTTATAGTGAAGAAAAATGAGGGGAAAAAAATATAATTAGGTAGACTTTCATTTGTCCAAAAAATTGCAAGTGCAAGTGAAGATCATAAAATAATTTTGTTATTTTCTGGTCACCTTTCCAAGGACCTTAAATTGATTCTACATCACATGTCATGTACGATACGGCTGTGAAGGAAAATGGATGTGAAGAGTTTTAAAGAAATAATAATGTAACTTTTAAAGAAAACAATGCTTTACATTGGTTTGGTTATTTTGACTACATATGTGGCCTAATAAGGTAAGGGAGGGGGGTTTAGCTTATTTAGGCCACCTGTGGCCCAAATAAGGTAAGGGAGGGGGGTTTAGCTTATTTAGGCCATATGTGGCCTAAATAAGGTCACCCAATTATAAACAGCAGAAACTATTGACGTCTGCCCACAAACTTTAGTAAATTTCAAGCTGCCAAAACTATAAATAGTACTCCACACTAGGCACAATGACGTACTGAAAATGATTTTTTATCTCTCTGCGTCTGACAATTACACATGACAGAGTGAGCTATTGTTCCAGCACATCAACAAAACACAGACTAAACAATCAGGAAAAAGCCGTGAGTCTCGTGTGTACATATATCATGCTGCCTGTCTCATGAAGCATGTCAGCATGTGTGTATATGTTTACTTACTGTGTCAATACAGTCATTAGTCAACAAGTGTGTACATAACATGTATACACTGTGTCACTACAGTCAATACAGTCGTAAGTCAACAAGTGAATCCACTTGAGGCATTTGACTTTAAATGTATACTTTATGGCACTGCAGTCATAAACAATTTAGCGCAGTGGTTTTCAAAGTGGGCGCTACCGCCCCCCTGGGGGCGGTGGGGGGCGGTGGTGACAGTTTGGGGGTCGCTGTGGCGAAATTGGGCAATTGGGGGGCGCTAGAAGGCGTTAAGAAATTTCTATGAACTGCCAAAACTAATTTGAACAAAAACTGATAATAGTTTTTAAAAATGGTTTATTTTAGGCATAGTTAACAATACTACTTACTTCTAGGAACTTTCTATCCCAGCGAGCAAAACCCATAATGATGAGCTATTTTCAAAGTGGTCCAAGAATATTTCGAGGAGAAACAGATCCCTCTGACCAATATAGTTTGCCTGTGCAACAGATGGGGCTCCGTCAAAGACAGGTCGGTACCGTGGATTTATGAGCTTCTTGAAGAAATCGGTCCCTGGAGTACTTACTGTTCAGTGTATCAGTCACCATTCACAGACAGCATTAGGTGACTAAAAACCTGAGTGATAGTCTGCATGACACACGTACTGGCCATTGTCATCAAGTGTGTGAACAAGATCAAAGCCCACGCTTTGGATTCGAGATTATTCCAACAACTGTGCCCTGAAAATGACGAGGATTTTCTACACTTACTTTTGCACTCTGAGGTCGGGTGGCTCTCAAAAGAAAACTGTTTAACACGATTGTTCTACCTGTTTGACTCTGTGCTGGAGTTTTTTCAAGAAACAGACCGTGATCTCTGTAATAAATTGAAAGAACACAAGAACAACATTGCGTTCCTCACAGATCTTTTCACAAAGCTCAACCAGGTCAACTTGCAGCTCCAGGGGGATGACATCAACCTGATAAAGGCAAAATTCATTCTATCCTCATTCTCGTCGAAATTGGGAATGTTCCGCCGAAACATTTGCAGAAGAGAATTTGCTCAGTTTCCTAGCTTGACGGAGACACTGAAAGAAGGGCGGGTGTTTGATGAGGAGCTAGAAAAATATTCGAACCCGCCTCATAGATTTGTGTGCTGATAATGAAGACAAGATTTACTGATATTTTTTAACTGGAAGATCCAGACTGGGCACTGGACCCACTCAACACTGAAACAGAAGGTAACTTGCCAGTAGCAACTGAAGAGGAGCTTCTGACAATGAAAAGGGACTTTGAAATCAAACCATTGTTCAAGAAGTCGTACTAGTCATTCTGGTTGAAAACTATTGTGCAAGACAAAATTAATATCCCTCCCTGTGGGAAAAGATCAAGCTGTTAATTTCTTTTCCCACCTCCTATATAGTAGAAAGAGGATTCCGTGCAGTGACAAGGTTGTTGAAAAAGCAGAGGAACAAACTAAGGATTACAGAGCGTGGCGATTTGCGTCTGCTACGACCAATCTGAAACCTGATGTTGATAAGTTGGTTTCGTCTTACCAGATCCATCCTTCTCATTAGGGCAGTGTCAATGACTTATTTGTATACTTACTCCGTAGTTTACCCTCACCCGATACCTCAATGTGTATTTTGTCTTTCTTTCTTTTAAAAAACAAACAACTCATTTGTTTAATAGTGTTTGTTATGTGCATGTACTGCCGCTGATGATGAAACTAATTTTAATAATGATGATGATTACGATGATGGTGATGATTACAGAATAAGATGCAGCACGTTGATGGGAGAAAACGTTTCATAAAGACAATGCCAATCTGTTTCAAACCAATGATCACTGATTTATTTGTGTTTTGATTCTGTATATGTGATAATACATGTATTACTTAATTGAAGTTAATGACAATGGTCGTTTAATACAGACGATAACTGTATGCATAAAATGACAGCATTTTGTTTTCCATGCCCTTGCATAATATTGATGAAAAATTCGTTTTATTATCTCTCGTACACGCATACTCTAAGATTCTATAAAGATAGTGATTTGTTACCCATCTAATGTTTCTATTCAGAACCAATTCTTTAGAATTTAGGCACGTTGTTTTGTACCCTGCTGTTTGAGCTCTCTATATTTGTGATTGTTAATATGCATGTCGTTATGTCAGATTGATGGTTGGGGCGGAGTAGGGGGCGCTGGGACTCCGATGGGGGAAAAAGGGGGCGGTGGGCGAAGAAAGTTTGAAAACCACTGATTTAGCGTGTACAAGTGTAGATACAAACTATACGTCACGACACTTATAAATAAATAAGCTTTCAGATGATAGCATTAACAACACATGCCCAAAAATTGACAAGCGTCCAATTCCACCACGTCATGACATACATATATATGTCACGACAGTCATAAATAAATAAGCATGTATATGTGTACATAAACACTATATATCTGGCATCGTAGTGAAACTAGGCACTCGTCAAAATAATGAATTCAAAGAAAAAGGCTCAACACTTTTTATGTCCATATGAAAGCACATTTCCATGTGAATTTTACTGAAAGACGATAAACCTATTCGATGCCGCGCCCGTAGAATTTACGAGTGTAGCACTGTGCCCATGGCCCGTAGAATTTACGGGACTGCGACAGTGGTTGTTTTAATAACAATTATAAGGAATGATACTGCTAAATTCTAGTTATTATCATTGGGGTACCTTGCCAGAATAAAATTGAGTATGTATCTAGCTAAGATTATTATTGTTTATATTGCTACTCATTTATATTATGCATGTGATTGTAAGCCTGTGTGTGTGTGCATGTTTGTGTGTGTGTGTGTGTGTGTGTGTGTGTGTGTTGCGTGTGTTGCGTGTGTGTGT